TTTAGATTTTTTATATTTTAAAATAAGATGTTTATCCTCTATTTGATTATATTTATCCGCAATTAGTTATACAAATTCATATATGGGATGAAATCGGATAGGGATGAACGGGTTTAAGAGKTTTTAAGAGTTTAAGAGTTTTTAAGAGTTTTAGTCAAATGTTTTATAATATAGTATAGATATATATATAATAGTTATAATCAACACAAATAAAGTAAATATAATAATAATAATTTAATTTACAAACATTTTTATACAATTTTCATATACATAAATACATACATATATAGTAATACCAAATATGAATAAAAAATTTGATATAATTGATTATAGTTTGAAAAAACACGATTCATACAAAGGAAAAAATATGTTTTATTCGACTTGGAAAATCCTTATCAATTGGTGAAGGCACAGTAAAAATTGTTGCAAAAACAAGGATTATGGAGGTAGATGGTGGTGGTTATGGTGTCCCATGGTGGTGGCGATGAATGGTGGTGGTTAGTGGTTGATGGTGGTTGTGTAGGTGGTGGATGAGGTATTGTAGTAGAGGAGAAGGTGGAGGTGGTAATGGTGGTGTCAATAGACAGTGGTGGTTGGGAGGTGGTGATGGACAGTGGTCAATGGCGACTACCAATGGTAGTGGCGGCCGCGACTAACGGCGATAACCATTAAAACAAATATCATATTAAGATCATATGTCAAATGATTGTTAATTAATAATATTTTAGTTTATGTCTTTCTCTTGTCTCATCTTTTTCCACCTATTTTGATGGAACAATAAAAAAAATTGTCTCACCTTGTCCAGGTACCTGTTCTTGTCCCATATAAATCTGGAAAAAAAAAAAACTTAAAGACAGTTTTTTGGAAGAGAGAAAAAATCTCCATTTATGAACAATTGTTTACTTATTCTGATTCTGAATTAAAAATAAAAGATCCCCAAAATTAAATTACAAATGAAAAACAAGATCGAATAATTATTTGTTTACTTATTTTGGAATAAAAATAAATAAAAGATCTTCGAAATTAAATTTTTAAAGAGAGAGAAAATCGATTACTTGTTTTGGAAAAGAAATAAAAAAATTCTCAAAATTAAAATTTAAAGAAGTAACTCATCTTCTTTTTTACTTATTCCAAAAGAAATTGAAAACTGGAGATCGAATTCGAGACTGACCCAATGACATTTAGGAATGTTCAGCTGAAGGAGGATTGATTATTATGACCGTCGAAGTTGATCAGTTAGGGAATATTAACATTACATTTGTTATGGTTTGATAAAACGACCGGACAAAATATATTCAAATCTTTGCTCTCGTTTTTTTTTCGTTATTTTTATAATCCTGGACTTTGTACGTATTTGGGACCATTACTGTCTTAATTCATTCCTCTATCATGGAGCTTTTGGCTTTCTTTCTTGAAGAGATGAATAATTTGATGCAATCCTCAGTTTATTGGTTCTCTGTTATTTATTTAAGTACTTAGATGTTAATATTTATCATCCAGACTATCTATTTAAAACACTGGACAAGTGATGGTATGATATTTACCATTAATCCAAACAAAACCTCTTAATTCAAACAACATTTAAGTCCAACTAGAAGGGTATTCGTGCAATACAACGACATACATCTTGATTTTAATGTTCTATTTTATTCTTTGTCTCTATCGATGTTATAGTACGATTTTATGTGTTTTTAAGAAAGCAATAATGATTTTATTTTTGAATAAAATATAAATTTGAAGATATCATAAAAATTTGAACGATGTTAATATCAAATCAACTATTTAAAAATTCTCATTTTTTATGTAAATTTTTAATTCATTTTTTTTATTATAGTTTAATATAAGTTTAATAATGAAATAATTTATTTTTGGTTTAATAATATAACATTTTGTAAAGATAATAGTTAAGTATTCTGTTAGAACTCAATGATTATCTTAATTATATTTTAGATTTTTTATATTTAAAATAAGATGTTTATTATGTATTTAATTATGTTTATCTACAATTAGTTACACGAATTCGGATATAGAGCTTTAATAAGTTGTATTTATGCACAATCTACTTGTAATATTGAGTTGTAAGTAACATGTATTAATAAGCAGTATTTTATACATAAAAAATGGTTTTTAAAAGTTCTTGTTAAATACTTTATAATACAGTATAGATAAGTACAAAGGGGCCTTACAGTTAATATGTATTTGTTATGAACCTTATGATAACTTTGATCATTCTGTTATTGTCATAATGGGGCCATTTTATATGGTGTTATACTTAGGGATAAGGGGTTGTAAACTAAATTTTCTATTAAGTTATGTATCGATAAATTTGTTTGTCTAGATAAAAATTTATTGTTTTTTTTATTAACCTAGATATCTAACCCGTTATGCGAGACGACTAATCTCATGACGACCACCTGCTTTGCAGATAACCCGATGTCACCGCATTTGAACCTCCGTGGCCACAAGGGGATTTTTATTCCTCCTTGGATTTGAACCTGGGACCTCCTGGTAATTTTGACCTTTGGAACCAAGCTCAAACCAATCAGGCACCACCAATGTGGTTTTGTTGTTTATTTTTTTTTACTGAACCAACCATGTGAATGGTAAAAATAACCATTTTACCCATCAGTTCATCATATAAACTTCAATATGAACATGTGGGTATCAATAAGAAAAAATTCAATGAACTTGAATAACAAAAAACATGTGAAATTTGGAACAATTTGAACTTGAAACAAAACAATATGTAAAAACGACCCTGTGAAATGTGGAACTTCAAAAACGAAATGAGATCAAACTTGAAACGCAATCTGGAACTTCACAGTTGAAAACGAAATCAATGAGCAATCAATGAAAACCGGAACAATCTAAACCATGAACTTCATAAATCAAATAAAATCTAGAACTTCATAAACGAAATATGGAACTTCAAAAACAAAATCGAAATCAAACGAAATCTGGAACTTCAAAAATGAAAAAGAAATTGAACTTCAGATGAGGTCGAACTTGAAACACGATCTGGAATTCACAAATGAAAATGAAATTGAAGGAAGGAGGCGGGTTTTGAATCTAGAAGAAAGGAAGACAACTTTTTTGTCCATATACATTTAAAAAAATAAAGGGTGGAGATGTTTTTTTTTTTTTGGTTGAATGGGGACAAAACAAAACCAATTGTATGATTAAATCACTTGTTATGCGAGTAAGCCGCAAATAAACAATCTAAAATAGTTGTGTGAATAAGTCAGATAGATCATTAAGCCCTACTAACTGCACCTAAATATGTTTATCATTCAAGTCAAACCAATAATCTATCTAAACCGTTTTTTATTCAGGTTTTGGATTTAATATAATTTGCAAGTGAAACAAAAATAAAATGCTATAATAAAAATAATTATGAAAGTATGTTACTATTTCGAATATGAAAATTCATTATATTTTTGAAGTCTTTTATTTGTTCGTTTTGTTATAAACTAATAAAAATAAGTTCAAAATGTTATAAAATGATACTCACTGGTGTCTAATATAAAATTACATAATAAAAATAATACACAGTTTTTGTTATATTTGTTTAATTTTATAGATCTAAATACTTTTTGGTTCAAAAAATATCTAGAGACTTAATCGTTCAAAATATGAATGTTCATTGGGTTTTTTCCGGGACTTTTTTCATTATTTTACCACATTAACTCGTTGTACAAGTCATAAAAATGTATCCAACAGGTTTTAGAAAAGTCCAAGTTATTTAACATGTTTTGAATTGTCCAAGTACTTATTTGTTCCAAAAAATTGTCCAATGAGTTATTTAACATGTTTTAAATTGTCCAATGACTTATTTGTTCCAAAAAATTGTCCAAAGAGTTATTTAACATGTTTTGGAATGTCCAATGACTTATTTGTTCTAAAAAATTGTCCAATGACTTAATCATTTCAAATACTAAAGCCCATTGGGTTTTTTCAGACTTTTTCCTGACAAAAACTCTTAAAAACCATTTTTATGTGTAAAATAATATTTATTAATGCATATTACTTAAAACTCAATATTACAAGTAGATTGTGCGTAAGTACAACTTATTAAACCTCCATATCTGAATTCGTGTAACCAACTGCAGATAAACATAATCAAATACAGGATAAACATCTCATTTTAAATAAAAAAATCTAAAATATAATTA